TGTATTTAGCGAATGCACCCGATTTCGCCCGGTTTTTATTCGAGTAAAAGTTTGCCTAACGAACATTTGTTAAAACGATTCTAGAAAACATCCAATCCACCTATATATTGATTCATAAACGTATAAAATATAAATATTGTTATATGCGTTTAAATATATTTTTGAAACACATAATTTTTTGAAAAGATTTATTATATTTTAAATAAGATATTGTCACGTTTGTGAATTTATAAATAATTATTTCTTTTTTCTCAATGAATTATATATATTAATTACAACAACAACAAAAGCCTCTATTTAGGGCATTCCGCCCCATACAGGATTCGCCGTATTTACACGTCAACAAGAAGAGAGGGAAGAGGAAACATTTACAACAAAATAAGGTTTGTCTCACATTCAGTTACCTATTTACAGATAGTTCATCCTCCAGTATCCTTTGCCCTGCATTCTTTCTCATGCGCCCAGCTTCTGTGCAGAACTTAAAGTATCTAACAATCAGTAATTCATCATTCAGAGCTGAAGAGAGAAGTTGACATATGCGATGGTATCTAAATTGACCAGAGGTAGGGCTTGGGAAAATTTCAGTACGTTTTTCTGTTAAGAGAGGGCATTGGAAGAAATTAGTGAACCAAATTATCATCCATGAGATCCTTACAAAGTAAACAGTTCCGGCCATTTTCTTTCCAGAAGTCTTTTCTTTCTTCCCTGAAAAATTGCCATAAAACTCTATGTTGTGCAACTAGTCTTTTGTTGGGAAGCGAGATATTTAATCGTAGGTACTCCTCTGTCATGAATGATTCACTCAAAAATTTGTAGTGAGCAAAGTGGGTTGAATCAGTGATTTTCATCTGATCGTTTTGAATTAGTTGGTCTGTGGTAGTTCTAATTATGCCTGGCAATTCTTTCTGTATGGCTAAGTAGTCTTCGCAGCCCTTAAGAAAGGAATATCCCTTAGAGTCTAGAATTTTCATTAAATTTTGAGTAAAACTGTTTTCTATTTCCTTTTTCGCGGTGACATTCCAGAGATAGTTTAAGCAAGCATGTGGTAATCTGCTCGTCTCCATTTTTAAAATCCTGACCCAAAACTTTAATGTGAGTTTTACAGCATTAAGTTCAGTTGATATTCTTCCACATTCTCTTCTGAGGACATATCCTGGTGTGAAGTTTGGTAAGTCTAAGAGACGACGAAGAAATGCATCTTGGGTATTATTGGCTGTCTTCAGCTGGTTAATTGCCCACATTGGTGCCGCATATAGTAAAGTAGGGAGAATAATAGTGTCAAGAAGTTTCATCACTGAGGTAAAGGACTTTATTCGCGCCTTTGTAAGGATTCTCCAAAGTGCATTAATTGCATTCAGTGCTTTGTTTCTAAAGTATTGGGAAGCATATTGGGTCGAGATTTTTGTAGTCAGAGGGTAATCCAGATATGTATACTTAGCTACTATTGTCAGGGGTTGCTGACCCCAAAACCATGTTTCGGAACGAGCTGTTCTTCCACCGTTTCTAAACACCATTATTTTAGATTTCTTTTGGTTTAACGTTAGGCAGTTCTCTTCTAAGTACTTTTTAAGTAAGTTAATCTTCAATTGCAAATTTATTTTCGATTCTCCTAAGATCACTATGTCGTCTGCATACAGTAAAAGGTGTATAGTTCCATAATTCTCAAGATTTATGCCTGGCAATTCTGATTCATCGAACAGGGGTACCAGATCGTTTATGAAGAGAATGAATAAATAAGGTGACAACGGCTCCCCCTGCAATACTCCCGCTTGTATTTTGATAGCCTCCGTGAAGGAACCCCGCCATCTGACTGTTGCCGTCATTTGGTAATAATAGTTCTTAATTATTTTAATAAATCGACAGCTCAGACCATTTAATGCTAATTTCTTTCCAAAGTAGATGGTGCGGCACAGTATCAAAGGACTTCCTTAGGTCAATGAAGAAGGCATATAACTTTCCCCTTCTACGGCTAAGGGTCATTTGAATTAATGATACGAGCGTAAAAATGTGGTCCTGACAAGAGTAGCATTTTCTAAAACCAGCCTGATTTTCTGCCAAAATTGACTTTCTCTCCATCCAATCATTCAATCTTGTCTTCAAGATAGATGTAAATAATTTCGATAGGTTAGAAATCAGGGATATTCCTCTGTGGTTTGACGGGTTGTCCGGATCTCCATTTTTAAATATTTGGTGGATTATCGTTTTTGTCCATTGTTGAGGAACTTGGGATGTCCCTAAGATTTTATTAAATAAGTTCCTGAGATAAATTGTATGTTCTTCTAATAAATATTCAATCGCTTCGTTAGGAATTTCATCAAGTCCTGTAGCCTTATTTTTACCCAATTTGGAAATTTCCGTGGTGACCTCCGTTAGAGATATATCACAATATAATTCGGGGTCAATGTCCAATATCTCAAGTGGTAACTGTACAACTTTTGTTAAATTTGAACCAAGTAACTCCCGGTAGAAGACCTGCCAGTCTGCAGTAGAAATTTCACCTTGTAGGCTATTCCTATATTTAAGTGAATTAATAGTCTTCCAAAATTGGGAAGGATCTTTTACATTACTGAGGATAACTTGAATTTTGTCAGTGTATTCCCTTTTTTTGAGCTTTAGGATAGCTGAATATTTCTTCTTACTCGACAAGTATGCAATTTTATCGGCCGAGAAATTATGTTTTACGTATAATTTAAGATTTTGTTTCATTTCCTTTTTAGCCAAATAACAGTCTTTGTCGAACCATTGCTTAGATTTTATATTTTTTGTTTTTGCCTCCATCCGCGTCCCCGAGCGTAACATTGCTGTTTGAATTAAACCAGTAAAATCCTCAGCCTGAGTATCAATTGTGGAGTCAGGTGGATGTTCGGGAGTTAATTCTTTTAAAGTTTCTATATATGTTTGGATTTTATCTACTGACCAGGAAAATTTAATTTTGGCCCTAGGCTCCATGTAACAATTTTCAGTTTTATTATTAGGGCCGATAAACTTTAAAATTATTGGTAAGTGATCCGAATATGGCATACAACCAATTTCAAAATCTGCTATGTGTTCAAGCACCGCAGGTGAGACAATCGCCAGATCTAACACAGAAGAGCCTCTTCCGGAGATGAATGTAAATTTACCACTTTTATCATTAATGGATCTACCATTTATTATAGTTAAGTGATTTTTATCAAGAAAGTCAATAAATATTTCCGCTTTGGCAGATTTTGTTAGATCACAGGAATTTCGGGTGGTTGAAATAAGTTTTGAAGTATCTATCAAATTATGGTAACCCCCCAGATTGCCAATACGGACATTCAGGTCGCCGACCAGTATTATTTCAAACCCGTTATATATCTTATTTTCCATCAAATGAAATAGTCGACCAAGTTTTGTAGCATGCGTATCGTTTGGGGGTAGATATACGAATATTACACAGATCGCTGGTGAGTCATTGTCTAAACTTGGATTGAGTGTGACTGCAATCAAAGAGGTTTCGATTTCAACATTGTCAATTTGGGGCTGTAGTTGTTTATTTATGCCGAGAATTATACCTCCGGAGGCTCTCCCTTTATCTGATGACTTTACAGCAGGTGATTGATACATTCCGAAGTTCGCCAGGTTCAAG